CACTTTTGTAACAGTCTTCCTGTTTTTTGTTACAATAAAAAAGAAAAAATATATATATTTTTTTTTATTGCAACAAAAAACAGAAAGGCTGCTACAAAAGTGCAAGAATGTCAAGATCCATACTTATAAAAATACGGATCATAAAGGACAACAAACATATCGCTGCTTTGTTTTGATAGTGGCACAAGATTTTCTTTCATTATTTTGGATTTGAGGTGTTAATATTAATAATAATACTGATATTGATAAAAATAAAAATAAACATACATATATTCATTCCTGCATTATACTCTCGTCCAAGGACCATCAGAGGATAAGCCCAACAGCAAACATTGATTATAAATATGTATTGTTTTAAAATACACAAAAAATATAAATATATTATATCTAACAACATGGAAACAACAATAACAACTAATACTTAACATATTAAAGCCAACAGGGACGACCAGAGGGGGATTTCATAGCGCGATACGTGCCACCTAAATTTTTAAGGGAGGTACATTTCGAAAGGTTTATGAATTTTCGGAGCGAAAAGTTTCAAACCAGAAAACTATTGGGAAAACATGGACCAGACTACACCAAGTGTAATTTTTTATAATCAACGATTTTTCTAAACGTTAAAACTTTTGCTTGCACTCATTTTAAGATGAACAGAGCAATAAAATTTCTTAGGAGCAGGAAAGAGGAGGGGGAATTCATTCGTTATCTATCTTGAAAGGTATGGGTACCCCTGAACAGTAGTGCCAAGAAGGGGATTTTATGGCCACAAAATTTTTTTAGGAGGCATATTTTGACGGGATTTTGAATTTTTGAGGGAGCACATTTAACGGGGTTATGAAATTTCGGAATGAAAATATTCAGAATAGGGAACAAGAGAAAAACATGGAACAGTATGTATAATTGTGATCTACGAATATTTCTAATTCCACTTTCCTTTGCTCTGTTTTTAAGAAAAGTGAGCAATAAAATATCTTGGGTGGGTGAGGAGGTAGATTCTTGTGCCATCGGTCCTGAGGGGGATAGGCACCTCTGCCCTTGAAAGTCAACAAAGTTCTATCCATTATTAAGTCGGTTTCATGATAGTAGTCTTTAAGTGACAAGCTTAAATCAATAAGAACTTTATGAAATCTGAAATCGTTCGTTTGTTGTAACTATATTTGAAGTATATAAGGGTTTCTGTCACTTTATTGTGTTTTTTTTTTGGTTTAATTTTTTTATTCACACCTGTCATAGTGGTAATGACAACCAGTGAATGTAAGGTCGTTGGAATAAATAATGTCATGAAAGGCATTACGAGAATCAGTGCCTACAGACGTTACCTGGTATATTCGTAGTGGCCATGTCATTTATACGTGTATTAGGATGTCCCTTTAAGTTGTCAAGGAATCGTTTGTAATGAGTTCGTTAACAGTCGGCATATGGAGGTCAGTATGAAAGGTTATGTTGCTAACGTACCAAGGTGCTTTTGTAATTGTTCTGAATGTTTTTGCTTGAAAGATTTGAGGTTTCTTTAAGTGAGTCTTTTTAATCGATAAATATTGTCGAAATTCACCAAAATGTTCTTAGAAGTTCAGATCCATCCAAAATGTACTTAATGAAATTTTGCAATAAACTGACGATATAAAGTATTGTCAGGCTCTTCTTATCATTTTTTTTTTTTCAGTTTGCTTCGTTTGTCATTGTATTAATTGTTCTTGACAATTTTTATAGTCATATTCATGACAACATTTGTCTAGACCAACATTGGCTGAAATTGAGAAAAAAACAGCTTTTATGGAAATTTTTAACTGTAAACAGTAAGAAAAAATGTTAGATAATGACAAAGTGAGCAAAAAAAAAAATAGATTTGTGACATGTTAGTGCCATTACTGCGTGTTTAATCAATAAATAAGGCTGAAATCCATAAAAAATCCACAAAGTTCAGATCAATGAAAAATGCCATAAACCGGCGATTTATAATATAAACGTAGTTCAGTCATACTTTGTAAATTTGAAATATTACACATAATTAATTAAAGTTTAAAAACATATAACATGAATAATTAACCATTAAATTCTTTAATCAACTGAAATCTATACAAATTTCTTTGCACCAAATTATCAGGGAAATCCAATTTTTTTCCGTTAAACTAATCAATAATCTGTGCTCCACTTAAAATACTTCCCACAAAACCACTACACAATAGAAATTCCATTAATATTATACTTAATTGACAGAGAGCTAAAAGTTTACTAAATGCTCAATCACTGTCATATTTCAAAAGGTGCAGAGCCCATTGGCATATTCAAAATACTTCCTGTAATTAAAATATAACAACTGCCTTCTTATTTAAAAAAATCAAATTTATATCAGTTATACTTTAGTTATTATTATTATTTTTAGTTATTATAACTGTTTTTTTCTCAGGAATGACAGGATACATTCTGAACTAAATTCACATACTGGTCCCACATCATACATTCTGTTCCTGATTTCACTCCGTTTCAAGATTCATTAGCAACTTTTGAAATATTTCTTTTCAATTTAGTATGTTTTTTACGTGTTCTAAAGATAATAAAATTTCATTATAAATAATGGCACACCTTCGTTTAGTTAGTAACGTGGAGCAATTGTGCGCATATCAAACTGTACAAAATATTTCTTAACTGGTATAAGGAAGGCTATTTGTTTCAAGGTGACCAAGAGACTTCTTTTTTTTTTTAAGTTGTCTCACTATCAAAACAAATCAACGATATACTCGTGATAATTACATGACATAAATTATGTGACAATTAACGTAGAACAGCTGACCTCCACAAGGATTTATTATACTACTTTATTTGTTAAAATATAATTTTATAGTCCAATTTTTTTTTAAAGAGTGCTTACAAATTACAACGATTTTGAGCCATCTGGAACTATTTTAAATAATAAATTCTTTCGCAATCTTTATATATTCGAAGTTGTTTTTTTTGTCTGTACTGCCATGTCTTCCTTGATTCTTCATCGAATCGAAAGATTGAGCCATCATTTCGAAAATTTTCTTTTATTTATTGCGAGAAAAATAGTCACATCCCTCCCAAATTTTAGAGAGAAAAAAATATGAAAGAAAAGAACCCTTATTTGGGAATAACTCAAAAAGTATACATTTCATGGCTGATTTCATCAATGATTATTTGAAGGATTATTAAATTCTCTAAAAATAAAAAAAATCATCGACATCGTACCAATAACAGCAAAGATGAAACCTATTGTAATTTTATATCGAGAACATGAATGATATATTTTTTTTTTTTCTTAGTCGATCATAATGACCGAGAAAACGAAAATCGATTTCTCCCTCTTATGACACGCTGCATTCACTTATTATTTCGTCATTTGTTCAATATATTTTATATAAGTATTAAATATAAGTTCAATAATATTTTGTTTAAAGAACAACATACTATGCGAATTAATCGCGCGGGTCGATTATAATAATCTGAAAAATTATCTAATTAAGTGTAAATTAACCCTATAATTAAAATATTCATTTCAACATAACTATGCCTCCTTCATAAATAACACCTAGTTTAAATTCCTATTTTAGGGAAGTATTAGAAACCAGTTTATAATATCTTTATTATGTAAAGCGTCATGTTTTATTTTACATGTACATAGACTGCAACGAAGACACCACACTTCTTATTCCCAGAATTATTTCTCTATTATTATGATTACAAATTGGCAATAATAATAATTATTATTACTTTCACTTACCTACATATGAAATATATAATAAGGGACAGTATTGCGATTGTAAAAATTTTCGACTCTTGAGTTTTTAACGGAAATACACGTTTTGAGGTCTCCTGACTCCAAATAACCAAGAAAATGGTGTGTGTGTGTGTGTTAACAGTCTAGATTAAAAATGAAAAGTCGTACGAAAGTGAAATTTCATATTGAAGATTTGTATATATTTTCTATGTTACAGCAACTTTCTCGTAAAAATCGCATGATGAAACGCTTTTTTACAATTTTCTCAAAAACGGCTCTAACGATTTTGATTAAACTCGGTGTATCATTGTATAATTAAGTGGTCTTTAATATTAACTTGGTCTTATCCCCATTGATGTCACTTTGCAGGGGTTGAATGCCCAATGTTCATATTTTTTATATTATTTGTTTTTACACCTTCGTCGGCCCAAGACTCCCGTCGTATACTGCAAATAATAATTATAATGATATAATAATATAAATAGGCAATAAGGTGCGATGTATAATATTATTTTTTTAAAGAAATTAATAATTTGTCCGAACTGTGAATTCATTCTGTTAATTTTATGTCGATAAAAAATAATACAAGCTCAACTACAGAATACATGTAAATAACAGCTTTACGATTTGAGAAATGAGTAGTACAATTAAATGAATAGTTGTATAATTTGTATAATGGGGGTTGGTTTGCCGTTAGGCTGACAGCGAGTACTCTCCTTGTTAACAAATTATATAAATATTACACCATGAATATATTCCGTTTTGAAAGGCCAAAAGTAAAAGTTTTTTATTGTACTTTAAACATAAAGTACAATAAAAAAAAAACGTTTACTTTTTACACCATAAGTAACAACTTATGGTAGTCGAATTGCCGAATTTTGGATTATAAACCAAATAACTTCTAGAAAGTCTAGCCTCTACTTGTAATGTAACAGAACCACGGTTAACCGCGCCCTACAGTTCGGTTATTTCCTTATTTTCTTCGGTAATTTCTACTGTCAATACGATCAATATCGCACGCCACCTATCAAGGAAACCATTAATATATTTTGTAATAGAAGTATTTCATCACCTTTTTAAAGTCAAGATGTATTATAAATATTCATATTTGATATTACAAATTTTATATTTTAATTTGTCGTTCAATTTCTGATAACATCTAGAAGAAAATCGAAATCGCGCTTCTCTTGTGAAGGATTCTCCATTACTATTGAAAAATCTCTCTTGTTCGTATTAACTAGAAAATTAAAATAATAAAAATAAAAACAATGATGCGGTTACGCAGTTTTATATTTTTCAGAGATGAAACTCCTCATTTTCGTTCTCCTTCCCAAACCCTTGGAATACATGAGAGAGTATTTGGGACCCACCTGCCTTGTGAACGTGGTCAGGAAGACATCCATAACGTTCTGTTCCGGTATGACTCTGCCCAAGCAGTTGATCATGGTTGGCTGTCGGGGAGATGGAGGATATTAAACAATGATTTTTAAAAATGACACAATAAAATAACAATTTAGAGATAAAAGGTTCAAAGAATTCTTACATGTTTGCTTATCGTATTCCGATAATCTTCCCAACTTATTCTACCGTCTCCATCTTGGTCTAGAGCCGAGAACACCATATTTATAAATATCTGAAAAAAATAAATAAATATATATTTCAGTAAATATATTGACTTATACCGCCCTTCCGTAGTTTTTTGTAAATGTGGGGTATCGAGAGTCCAGTTGGAGGATGATAAAAAGTAAATCGCGAATAAACCATGGACTTAATGGGACACTGAACTTTGTTAAATGGTTTTGACAAAGACAAACTCTATATGCGTTTGAAGATATACATTGTTTATTATGAAATGATTGTTAATGATTCCTATTCAACAAACAACGCAACTTCCTAATATATATATATATATATATATATATATATATATATATATATATATATATATATATCTTTAATTTCCTGTTTTTCGATGCAAAATCAGACCTATAATTTTTTTTAAGCTCTTGATATCTACTATCACATCATTAAATACGCCCATTACAGAAAAATGTTTGAAAATGAGTGACTATTAACCAATTGATTTTCAAACAAAATAGGAAACTACGATTTATATGTATTCTTTTAACCTGTTGAACAAATCCGACACCTAGGACTCCACCTGGACAAACGATTAACTTGGAATCCTCATACCAGACTGAAACGACAAAACACCGCTCCAGGTTTCCGACTACTCCAGAACGTTCTAATCTTTCAATGAATTACAAAAACTCATATATATGACTAATATAAGGCCTATTTGGACTTACAGAATTGAGCTTTGGGGCTTCACTAAACCATCTAATTTTAATCCAAACTCCTTTGTAAAATCCTCAATACCCCTTACTTTGTCAAATAAAATCATCCATAACGAACGAACTTAATGTACCATATGTTTCTGATTTGGCCCATGCCAGATACCTATCCTTCCATAAGAAAACTTGAGAAACATCCGAAACCTCTCGTGTTTCAAACCTTGCTTCCTCCTCGATTCCTGATAATCCTTCGACGCTTCTGAAAAGAAGATGGTCTGGTGATCTACTTATGCAATATATTATTAGAGTGCTATCAGTTGTGTAGTTTCGCAAAATGCGTTTCCATCCCGTGTGCACATTTACTAGATGTATTTTATTTTAATACAGTTGTAAATATCATGAATGAATAAATAAATAATAATAATGTATAGTTTTTTATATTATTTAATTAATATTTTGTCTCAGGATCTTGTTTATTTTTTTATTTATTTATTTATTTTTTTTGACGACTTTACAGACCTTGTAGTTATTTTTTTTTCTAGATAAAAACTATTGAAACTGATGTAATTAATCTCTTGAGGAACGTATAATAGCTGACTTTCCGTGACAAGTATAAGCACCGTAATTTGACTAATTAATACAGTATTTATAAATGGGATGTCCATTAATTAATTATTATATCATTAATTAATTCTCTAGATGAAAGTTCCACTTGACTAAGAGTGATTTAAAGTGGACATAAGGAGTCTGGATCATTTCTTCAGCTCCTAACTCCTACAATTTAACTGGGCCAATTTGTGGATTAAGTAACATCTCTTCCTTTTCACGTCGTGGGATAGACCCAAACTGTTAAAAAAAAAATTATACCTTGCGAAATTTTCTATTACATAACTTTTTTGCAATGCCCAGTACATTACCTGCAATATCTAAAATCAGACATTAAGATAATATACATTTTTCATTCTGTTATAGAATCACTCTTGTTGCATTTGTGAGTTGGAGAAATTTATTATTTCTTCATAATATGTCGGGATTATTTTACAATAAATCTGTAGTTTCAAAGCCATATTTGAAAAAAAAAGTATTAATCTATGTTAATCATATAAATACTCATTAACCTTTCGGTTAAATTTCATTTCAATTATATATCTTTTTCTAAGTTTATCAAGATATTTCTTAAACAAGATATGGGCAGATAAGTTCTTAACCTCTTTAGATGTCAGATGAAAATGATAAATTTAATGCCGGATATCCGCGCCTATTCATAGTTCTTAAGAGGTTAGGAACCCATTACATCTGGCCCCTATGGTCTGTGCCATGTCTTCCAAGTTCATTGATAATTTCCTTTATCTATATCTTCAGTTGATAACGTTTTTAAATAACGATGTATACTTCCAGGAATGCTATCTAGGCAATGAAAATATCATATTTATTGTCATCGAATAAACTCATTCAAATTCAGTTGTTATGGGGAAGATGCCATTGAAATGCTTCTTCTTTCAACCCCATAAAATTGTTCACAATAGTGTTGCCCAAAAACTTGGTCTTACACTCTTACACTTTGCAAGACAAGCCTGCTGAGGGGCCGGGGTAGCCGAATAGGCTAAAGCGTGTGCACAGCACCGCTAGTTGTCTGGAAACCGGATAACAGAGATTTGAGATGATATATAAAGTAAAGTACGAGTTCGCGTCCCGGTGCCGGAGGGGATTTTAAATTCCCCGTCCTCACCCCCCGGCCCGAGAAAATCCCGAATAGCCTAAAACCTAAAAGGCGAGGTAAGGAAGAAAAAAAAAAAAAAAAAAAAAACCAAGCTAAAAAAAGACCAGCCTGCTGAAAAAATTTATTTTTGTGAATACAAATTATGGCAAAATAATCACTTTATCAATTGCACTTAATTAAGTTTTCCCTGCCTAGACAATTACAGTAATATCTCAGATTTTAAAAACACCTGAAACTGAAATAGATGAAAACAATAAATAGTGTTTGGAAATTCTATATTTCTAGAAGGAAAAAACAAACGGACGCAGTGATTCTCATTTGCCCTAGCCTATCATAATTTCAAAAAGGAAACAAAGGAAGTAAAATAATTTTAAATTCGACAAAGTAGGTTGTGGATGAACAAAATTCATTTAAATCATACATTAAATTCAACGACATAAACAATAAATACATGTCTAACTGTGACATTAGCGCATCAAAATCTTTTTTTAATTCAAATGAAAACCGGAAAGGAGGTGTAAAAGACAGAAACAAGAAATAAAACCAATAGCAAAGAGAAACAACCGATTCAGACATTAGTGTTTCCGATAGATTGAGAAATGTCTAAACGACTTTAAGAATACATCATCATCATAACCATCAAAAGGTCCATCAATATAACTGAAGCAATACCATGTTCCCATTGTCGCTACAGGCCTGGAAATCAATCTAACTGTGACACGAAGAACTTTTATATAAATCGTCATTAATACCATCTCCATCTAACAGATATTTTCCTCCACCCAATGCGGTGTCAATATGTTTTACCATTTTCGCAGAAATCGTCAAATGACATCTGATGTTTTTATATTACTGATTTAGAAAGTCAGTTGTTGAGGAAGTCGTGACTCCAGCAGTCCTGTGATCAGGAGGATAATGACAGTGAATGTGTAAGTTACATAACAAATGATCCACATACCTTGAAGCTTCCAGATGATATTTTTTTTTTTTTACTCTTTAGTAAAATTTGTCTAAAACAATTATATGTATTATTAAATACAAGGTCTCAAACCTTCTTTCAAAATTCGCGTGTAGAAGAACTGATTCATAGAAACATCCTCGATATTGCATAACAACGCAATGTACCCGTATCACGAAAAATTGGGAAAATGCTGTTAAATGATTCAAAGATCTTATAAAATATTTGGAATTTATTAATTAAATTTAATAGTCTATCAACAGTGGAATTGAAATTTACTTCTTAAAAAATTAAATATATCTTTTTTAAAAAAGTTTAACTTGTTTTATTCCATCGCTGCTTGTGGATGTTTACTGGAAAAGAAATATTCGATAGAGAAAATTGATCTCGATTTGCGTTGTACAACTTTGATTAGGAATGTTTTGCACATAAAACACACTTTGCAACCTGACGACCTTAAACGAACTCGCAATAAGCCCCTGGGCATACATAATTCTCCTTTTCTATTTTACTTAATGCTTTTCATAAAGTTCTGCCCAAACTTACCCTGTTCTGCTCGTCCGATACGTTCCCAAACTGCTTGCCCAGTTGATGGGATAACATGTCTTCCACTGTTCCTCTCGTCAGATGACCTGTTCCCATCGTATCGAACACCTGCGATATTAGACAAACATTAAATTTCTATTTCTGTATTAAATCTATAACTTCAGATATATTTTGCAATCGTTTTAGCTTATTTATATATTCTGTCAAGCATAATGTAACCAAACTATTTAAATAAATTAAAATGTGTACTATTCAACATTTTATTAATGCCCTATAAAGATATTAACTATATAATAATTTCTATCTCGTTGGCGCTACAACCGGGGGGTGGGTCTTGGCCTCCTCTAAGAACTTCCGCGATCCAGCTCGATCCATTGCCGCTGCCTTCCAGTTCTAGTGTTCCTAGCAGTATTCCTGTTCCAGTCCAACGAATTTCCTGGATTGCGGTGAGATCAATCCTATAACTGCCAATTTGCTTAAGGAGGGTTTGATGTCCTCCGGGTCTATTAGGAGTTAAAATGTTCCATTGTCCAATCATTACGTCCCTCATGACGGTTCCTGTGTCTTTTACCATTTATCAATCCAGCGTTTTCTCTTTGAGGTTACGGGAAAAAAGTGGTTTAAGGGAAGGAGTATATCAACACCATCCTGACGCACTCCCCCGTTCGGGACGGCTACTTAGGGGAGGTACTGTTATTGACCTTAGTGTATAATGTGGGGGTGCCTGTAGTGTTGGTGGCAGTGTACTTTACTGAAGGGGCCGCCACCTCCCTACGCCATATAATTATATATAATACAATATAATAATTTACGAACTAAAAATAAAAAATAAGAGAAACTTCTGTTATATCTATTTAACGAATCATACTATTAGATTATGGCAGGCTATTTTCAAAGTACTTTTGATTTAATAGCGATTAAATTAGGATAATAAGTTATTTATTTATTTATCGAATTCCAAAGCAAATGTGATTTTTGCCGACGTACAATCATTATATTATAATGGCTCTATACATTACGAATTACTGGGACTGGAACTGGTAATAGTAGAGAGAACTTGCTCGGTAAGTTTTTTCCAACCTCTGATAAACCGAAGATTACTTGTTCAAATCCTGGTGCCGGGAGGTCTTTTAACTCTGGCATAATTCCCCGACCGCAACTCCAGTCCGAGATAAACCTAGTATAGACTTAATAGCGAAGAACAGGAGAAATAAAAGTGGGAGGCTGTATCGTTAGAAGTATAATACGTAATAGACGTAGTTAATAAAGATATCCAAAATTTATGACTCAAATCAATAACAGTAAATGTATATGGCACGCAATATTACGTTACTTTGGGCTAACATTCTACCGAAGGAGCTCACACGATATGATAACATCAAACAATAGTAAAGTCAACCAAACCTAAATAATACGAAGGAAAATAATAATAATAAAGGACATATAAAACTAAACCTTTCAGAAACATTGAAGCTTAAACCGCTTAGAAGTTATCTTTTTTTTTTTTTTATTGGGGGGGGAGGGGTCCTCCCCTTCCTCGCCGTTAAGGCTATACGGGGTTTTCCCGGGCCAGGGATTGTGGGTGGGGATTTAAAAGAATCCCCTCGGCACCGGGACGCGAACTCATGACTATTTTATATCATTTGATTGATATATCAGGTTGCCGGGCAACGACGGTGCTGTGCACACGCGTTAGCCCGTTCGGCTACCCCGCCCACGCTTAGAAGTTATCTATATTAGAAACGTCAAAAGCTTGTTGTCATTCAGTAAGGCTGGTAAAGAGGTCGGGATGGCCGAGGACGTCGGAGCTTGGGTCCCCTAGTGGCCAGTTCTGGATGCTGTGGGTTCGATTCCCACCTGATTTTCATTTCTCAGCGGTCCCTGAAAATTAATCTTGACATTCCCACTCTGGTAATTACGCGGCGGGAACCTTAAAGTTGCCGCCAGCGATTGGCAGAAAGGACCACTTGACTAGTACCCCAACCAGTACCAGTAAGGCTGGTAAATAGTATAGTAGATAAATACTTATCGAAAATCCGGTACAGGATGGATTTATCGTTGGAATCACACGGTGACAGGAGAAATAAGCTAAAAAGATCGTTATTTTAACAGATAAAAAAAAATTATGATATAAATAAAAGCTTTCATTTAATTTCCTTGCGACCAGTCTGAACATCCTTGAAAATGCGGATTCCTTTACCGTTCATAATAAACACACCAACTCCGAGATATTGTTTACAACAACGCGAACCATAAAATTTTACAATACACCACGATCCTAGAATGTCTTCACTGACTGTACAAGATTAATTTTACGAAAATGGTTCTCACTTTTAAAAAAGGTACTTAAATCACACTTCGAAGAAACAAATGTCCACCAATTTATGACGGCGATAACCGAATTCCTCAGGCGGACGCATTACGTTACCTTGGACTAACACTTTACCGAAGGAGCTCACACGACAAAATGAAAAGAAAAGCTTCTTAAAAACTACTGAAATCATTAAACTTTCTTATTTTCCCAAATAATCAATGCAGAAAACTAAACTGATACAAAATGCAAACACATAGTTTGCACACGGTTCAGCAAAAAAGACGCACTGACGAAAATAACAAGTATTCCAATCCAAAACTACCTTAAAAACATAACTCTACATCTGATTTATTATCCATAAACAATCGATTGATACAAGCTCTTTATAACCGTTTTCATAAACTTTATCATAGAAAAAATAATATCTAATATTAAAAGGTCGTTGAAGATAATGGAGAGTAACGGAAAGCTAATTAATTTTAATTGGTCTAGTTAATGATGTATACTTTTATATTAGTGAATGGATAATAACGTATCCATGGGAACTAAATAGAATTTCAAAAGAAAATATATGGACATTTCTTTTCCAGCTTGATCAAATCAAAGAACATAAAATGCACAGTATTGTCATAATTTAAATCAAGTATGTGATAATTTAGGCTTATGTTTGTATTTGTAATTAAAGTAATATACTTAATGTTTAATGAATTTAAAATAAAAACTCTGAGTACTGAGTACCAAGTATTTTACTCAAATACTGACACTTTTTGAGTACCACAGAATTTAATTACTACTTCATTTGATGTCAAACGGTTACCTGAAGTAGTGATTGAATTCCCAATACTGATACAATATAGGTAAAATACTTGGTACTTGGTACTCAAAGTAGCATTTGCCCATGTATGATTTTAAGTGCATTATCGCACCAAATTTGTATATTTGAAATGATTCTGAACGCACTATTTGACTCATTATAACGATGTCCTCTACTTTTTCCAAGAACAAAGAACAGTTATTTTAATTTAATACCACAATGAATCAATCAATACTGAATTCAATCACCTCGAATGCAAGAGTGAACTGTTGAGTATTGAGAGATAAGAGTTGGCAGAGGGCGTTGACACCAATGACGCTAACGATAACGACTAAAAAATCCTTGGCCCGCTCTGGAACAATAAGCTATAGAGAGCACATAAGGACTTAGATATTGCAACAGTCCTCGATCGCATCGGCTCGACAACACGTCCCTTCTGTCATCTGCCAATACAACATACCTACCATCTCCAATGACAATTCAATTGTAGAAGATTTGAGTTGCCAAGTTCTCTCAGTGGCTGTGGCGATAAGTCTGTAATAAGTCATAACAAGTAATAAATAAGTCTGTAATAGAATTGTTTACCAATCTTTATAAACATGGTGTCTTGTTGGAAATCCCACACTTGGTGCCACGTTTTGGATTTTATTAGCCGCCTGAACAGCTTTCTCCATCTCTGCCTATATTGGACTATTTCTTTCCAGTCATCTGCATGCAGCTCTATTGCATATTTGTTGATACGATTTATCAATCTGTTTTTTTGTCTTTCCGAGGATATCTTGCCTAATATATATATATATATATATATATATATTGCCTAATTGGCTTCTTGATGGACTGCTCCGAGCTACATACCCATCGTAACTTCCTTGCCTTCATATCATGAGATGATGATTGACCGGTTTCTGTAAGCATTTCTTTCTTGGTCCTTCTTCTCCATGTGTTTTTAAACTAATCTCAGATCGCTCTGGTTATCTTTCAATAATTCTTTCTAGATTTCTGGTTAGTGTCCAAGTCTCGCAGACCATATCACAACTGGCTTTACTGGATTTTTATAAATTTTTTTTTTTTGGTTTGTCGAGGCTTTATCTATATAGTCCGTGGTATAGACCCCTTTTTATCGAATTATTAACATCCGCCTAAAACTTCGTAAATAGTTTTATTTCATCGTAATCTACAACTATTATATTTACGAAAACTCTTGGAATTGGGGCGTTTTCAATCTGGATGGAGGCAAACTCTATTTAATTATGTACTAAAAACTCGTAAATACACATTTGCTTTCTACTTGGATCGTAAGATAATTTGATCTCAAAATCGATAAAAAAAGGTGGCCTACAAAAATACTGGGCTATTTGTCCTAAATAAACTATTTATTTTCAAAATTTGGGGTGTAGGTCGCGCTGAACGGCCAGGTCGCCCGAAACATATCCAGAAAAACGCGTTGAAGTATCGGTTGAGTATCGTGTAAGTAAAGGATGTAACGGGACTGTTTCTATTTTATAATGTTACTGTTTAAAGAAGAGTCTCTGGAATAAAATTGGCTGAAAGGAGTTCTTTTTCATTGAGTTTCGTAAAAGCATTCATGTTTGATGGAATGGTCAAGTGTAGTTAAAGGAACTCCTATACATTCCACCCTTAGAAACCAATCCGAACCTAATTGACAATAATTTTTTTTAAATTGATAATTTGTATAAATAGAAATAGAAATAAATAACATTGAAATTTTAATTTTTTTGTATATAAGGATACAATTATTTGTATACTTTATTATCTGCTTTAACAAATAAAAAGTCAGTTTTTCTCTGTAAGAAAAGAAACAACTGAAATAATGCTATCCTGAATATTTCTCTTTTAGGGAAATTCATGCGACCTTTGGTTTATCCGACACAATCCAATTCCCTTTCCTTCTTGAGAGCGTTTCACTGTCGGAGACAAAATCTCAAGAGAAACGCCAGGTTTGGCAGCCGCAGGTAATAA